GAAATGTCCCACATTTTCATGAATAACAACTGTATCAACAAAAATACAGATATTAAAGAACTGAGTGTCATTTACTCATATTTGCTAAACTGCGAAAAATTGGAGAACTTACATATCTCATAAATTTCGACTTTTCACAACCATAAATGTATTTTGGCCGATTCCACCAACAAATTTCATTCCACTCAAAATCTAATAATTCTCTTCTCACGATTTATTATTAATTTAAAATTCCCATTAATTAAAATATAGTTTATTCAACTGCCTCTGGTCGGTTTAACAATTTCTTACATAACATTCTGAAAATCACATCATCTGAAGTGATTTGGCAACATTTTGGCACACGCTCACAATTCGTTCCATCTTTCAACACAGACATTGACAACCTTCGGCCTTCTGTCAAAGGTTCATCTCACTCATTATTCCATGACCACCATTTTGTGCAATCATCAAGTGGCTTCACGACGTAATGCTCTAATGTTTTCTAAATAATTTTTAATCTGTTTTTAACTTGTCTTGTCATATTTTATATAATTTTAACCATTGTACCATGTATCCAGCTCTCACCATGTTACTGGACGTTTCCCTCATCCTATACGAAAACAACAATTAGCAACATCCTCACATACTACTGTAAGTTGATTCAATTTAAATTCATTTTACACTTTTGTTGCTACTGTTAACATTGTAATTGCAGCTCCTGATGATGATGGCAAAGTCCATTGAAAGCTAGAGAGAATTAAAAAAAGTATAAAGAGTCCTCTTTGCTTAAATTTTGTCGAAGTACCCAACAAAAGGCGGAAGCTTTAATTTTTCACTTAACTGGTTTAAACGACAATGACCACGTCTCAAGTTATATATATATATATATTTAGTCATGTCACTCTCAGCGTCATATTTATACATACGTACCTATGTATGTACATGTACAAACTACCACAAAAAAAAGTCTGCCAACCAGAAATGAATAACTATTCTATCGTAAACTCTGGATAATTTCCAGGACCATTTTCGTTTATCATTAAGAACTTTTAACGTAGGCTTTCATTGTCACGAAAACACAGTTTTTAATGTTTACAGTCTAATTTATCACTCTTACACGAATTTATAACTACACATGCAATTAATTTACGACAAATTTAAAACTATGTCAACTGTACTATCGCGTTCTGCGCCGTCGACTGCACGACTGTCCCTCTGGCGGAGGCGCCTGGGTATTTGTTTTGAAATTGACAAGTAATCCTGTCCCGCGTTTTGTCGATCTCTCTAGATGCCGATCGATGTTTCTCAAATGCTCTGCTGCAATTCTTGTCGAATGATGGCGTAACTTTGCCTAAGCGTCGACAGTGAAAAGGGGTCTCACCGTTACTGGAGGTCCTAGTTACGAGGGCGTTACAATATGTATGACATTTTTTGAAAATACATTACGTAGAACGACGAATCAATAAAAATGATGCGGTACTTAAAGTGCTTTAATACTCTTTGCCGATTAGGCTGTATAATCTTTTTTTGCAGATATTCTATTGATCTTAGTTCTACATGATCCATTTCAATTAAACTCCTTGTCACACATCTTTCTCTATGCAATAAATGGAATTAAATACAAGAAATCCATCCCTTGTCACACGTCAACCAAAAGCTCATCCTGATGATATTTATGATCTTGTTTATGTACGAAATGCTCTTCATGAATTCCGCAATGAGCAATGGATCGACTTTCTGGCGGGGATGCTTGACTCTAGCATTCCTCTCTGGAAGGTGGCGAAGTCGCAAACGGAAAGCGTGAACAAATCCCACACATCCACGGTACTGGAGGCATTTTCTTCAGGATAGAGGAAAAGGTTGAGGTTTTCGCCGATGCCATGCCATGCCAACTATGATCTTGATAATGACCTCGACGAGGAGCAACACACGTAAGATCTGTCAGGAGATATTTTAGGGCCAACGGCGTCAGTGACAGTCGCGCTACCGTTGGTGATCTTTCTTCATCAGAAGATTCTTCTTCAGAAGCTTCTTCAACCGAAGATCTGCTTAGTACATCAGCGGCATTTCTCGAGATCCCGCATTGCACACCAGCAGAGATTCAAGGTCATATTAAAGACCTTAAAGTGCGTAAAGCACCTGGGGAGTATCAAATCACTAATAAGGCGCTGAAGCTGCTTTCGCGGAAGTCCTTAACTTATCTCGTGGCGATAGTTAATGCCATGCTATGGATTCAGTACTTCCCATCCGCGTGGAAGACCGCTGAAGTTATAATGATTCCAAAGAAGGTGGGTTCGATATTTCCCCAAGATTATCGTCCCATTAGCCTGCTCTCTGTTCCGTCTACGCTCGATGAAAAGGTGATTCTACGTCACCTTGAGAATTTCTCGTCATATCACCATGTGATTCCTGACGTGCAATTCGGTTTTCGCTCTGTACATAGTACGGCGCTACAGGCGGTTAGGCTGGTGGAACGAGTAACCAGAGGATTCAGCCTTAACGAATGTACTGGCATCTTGCTTTTGGATGTCTCAAAAGCATTTGAAAAGGTGTGGCACGCGGGCCTCCTGTATAAACTAATCCATAAGGGTTTCCCTTTTTGGCTTCTGAAACTACTGAAATCCTTCCTTGAAGGTAGGAAATTTTGGATCAAAATTGACAACGTCCTGTCGACAACACGGCTGATTACAGCCGGCGTCTCTCAGGGCTCGGTCCTTGGACCTATCCTTTACTCACTGTACATCCATGACGTCCATAGTCCCAGCAACTATGAAGTCTATCTCCATGCTGACGATACTGCATTGGTGGCTCAGTCGTGGTCTGGTCACCTAGTCCATGACAGGCTGGTGGAGGAAGTATTAGATTGGGCGGATCGGTGGCTAATTACAATTAACCAGTCGAAGACGCAGGCAATCTACGGTACAAAAAGACGTCGCGGCGTTCCGTCTGAAGTTTCAATGAAGGGGAATCCTCGCTAAGTATCTCGGTGTTATTCTGGACAAAGGGATGGCTTGGCGGAACCATATAGAAGCGCTAAAAACTAAATTCCAAATTACGTTTTGACAGCTTTACCCTTTATTACATAAACGTTCAAAATTAAGCTGGATTAACAAGATTCGACTCTATAAGGTCATTAGACCAGCAACGACTTAGGCATGTGCGACTTGATGTTTTACTCCTTTTACTGACGCCCCATGGTATGTCTCTAACGAAACTCTACATAGAGACCTCGATGTCCCTTACTTAAAGGACTACATTAAGCAACAGGTTAACAAAATTAATTCGTGAACTTAGAACAACCAAAATTAGAGCATTTTGATAAAATCTTTAGAAAAAATCGAATGTTTTTTAGACCTTATCAAAATCTGTGAAGTGATTTTAACAATGCCTAAACGTTGCCTATCCTAAAAGATTCTCTTCTTCCCATTTGCTCTCGTTCTTCCTTCTATCCTTTCCTTCCATTTTTTTCCGTACGATTGTCTGGTTTCTGTGTTACCAGACCTGAGAGACTTGCAAACTGACACTGTGACTCAAGAGCTAAGGTCCCACTGACCGCTCTGAAAACCAACGATGACTGGAATCAACCAAAGGCCATATAGCGCCAAAATGGTTCAACCTCTAAACTTAATATTTTGCTAACATGGCCTACTAAGATCAGTTATTTCCTGTCTATAACATCAATCAAATAAGCATATGCAAAATAGTCGAGGACAAGGCATATTGCTACAACTATCATTGCAAATTAATCTATACTACATATGTTGTGATTTTGAAAAAGAACAATTTGTTTGCGACCATCATGATTAGCGGCATTACCAAAATGCTCACATTGAAAACCCAAGAAATAATCGTCCTCAATTCTTTTATTAACAAACATATTCCACGAGTTCCTAGTTGCATTGGACACACATATGCATAACAAATCGACTGGCAGATTGTGTCCGGTGTAAAAAGCTATTCGAATTAAAACAGTGGATTCCGATTACCGAGTGGTAACGAGTTGTCGGGCACCGAACAACTCTGCGCCCATAATTCGCCAGATGCTAATGCCAAAACAACACTAGCAACACTGCATCGGAATACGGTGCGCGTCTGGGGTCATGGGTGTACAATAGGGATCTCTGGAAACGGCAACATGACTCGAAAGAGTGGTCTCGAATATGTCTTCACTATTTTCCGTTTGGAAATAAGTTATTTCATACTTCCTAACCTTTAAACGTCATTCGCATTCAGTTTCAAAGCGTGTTACATTATTTTTTCTCTTTTTATCTGAATGTAATACGCTTTTGATAGCAACACGTGAATCTACAGAACGAGTTGACATCAAGTGAACAAGAGATAGTTCTAAGTTGTAGTAAAAACTTACATAATGTCAACCTATATAATGTAAAAAAAACGATATAATGTCACTTCTCCAGATACGTAATACCCCTGCGGATCAACTTATAGACGTCATTATAATGTATTGTCACATTGCACGTCTGACATGTTAGATTTAGAATGGCATTTTGCTGTCATTGCCATGTTTTATTTAGAATGTGATAAGACGCCATCTTGTATTATTGTATCCGCCATACTGCCCTCATAAGCTAAACCCCCGTATTCGGAAATATTGGAAAGTGGCGCAATATCAATTTGAAGTTTCTTTTTGTTTGTAGCTTTAACGGACGTCCATGGTATTAATAATTGATGTCCATATTGAGTAATAAGGGCTCTAAAATTATGTGGTCTACATAAACAACCTTGTTTGATTGTTTTTACAAGTATAAATTGCCATACGAGGATTTTTTTTAGTTCTGTTACACCAATTTCCTATGCAATAACCCCGTATTTGGCGAATACGGGCATTTGTTCTAGGACATTATCAAATTTATATTTGTCATAATAATCGTATTTTTGATATCAGTCGTTGGGAATTGAGGTAGATACTTGGTAGATGAAAATGAATTTAGTAACACACCAGCTTTTAATTACTTTATTTTATGGTGAACACATTAAATATAATAAAAGAACACTTACTAGATAACTTTTTCTGGAAGTTTCTCCCAAAATTCTTTCCTGTTACCTGGCATAATGGAACCAACCGCTTTAAGCAGGTTTTCAACTTTTTGACGCTCAAAGCCATTTGGTGCCGTTTTTATTGGGGCTGTTGGCATTTCACCAATATGTTTTTTTAGCAAAAAATCTAGTTTCTTCCATTCTTCCTCAAAATTGCGTTTGTAGTACATCACAAATTCAGTCCTCTTTACCATTAATTCCGTTATTTTACTCATAGTAAAACTGGGATCCTGTTTCTTAATTTTACTAACTGAATGGAGACTTTTCCACAATTGAAAATCATTCAGTTTCATGGATTTCATTTGTACCTTTCCCTTATTGCTGGACTGTACTGCCTTCTCAAAGTCTGCAAAATCATATGTTTTGACTTGACGCTTTAGTGATTCTTCTACTTGGTGGTGGAACGAATCCGCCGACATAAAGGTATGACCTGGTTCAAAATACGAGTAGTTCAAGTGAATGGTCTCAGCGGATATACTTGTTGAGTTTACAATATAAACAAGAAAGGAGAATAATGCCCAGTTTTTATTCTGGCTAGAACAATTGTCCAACCATAGAGTGATATTGCGGACATCCCTGTGGTGAAGAAGAAATGCGTTGAAGGCACTAATAATATCTTCTTGGTGTCGTCCGCTGATGCCTTCATGCCACAATACGGCAAATGGAGGAAAATCTCTAATTTTACCAACTGGCACAAAACTTTCATTGTAAACTATTAGGCGAGAAGCAAAGATCGCTTTTTTAAACATTTCAAGTCTAGGCAACATTATTACTTTTTGAAGATCAACAGAAAAGCACAAATTTCCTTTGTCTTTGTTGCAATTTTCCTTATTTAGTGAGTATCTCTCACGAGATTCTTTTGCTTTCATAATGTGATCCTTCCAGCTGCAGCATACCTCGCAATCATCACTTAAGGACTCAGCTTTATGTTCGGAATTATGCATATGGTACGACTCACAGAGTTCACATTCCTCATTTCCTAATTTTGCGAACGATATATTTTTCGCCTTGAGGATTTTTCTATATTTTTCATAGGAGCAAATGTAATCGGGATATCTTTTTTTAAAGTCTTCAAACATAAGGGTGACATTCAAGTCACTCGGCAAATATAGACGATTAGGAGCATGGACTCTTCTATAGTGAGATACAGATGGATTAAATGAGTCAATATGGCTTTCTATAATCTTATTAGACAACTTGTTTGGAGGAGGATGCCTACCTCGGCGGTCTAAATCATTTTGTAACTGATTTTTGCTATTAGCATTTGCCCACACCGAATGGATTATCCAGTCATTCGTTTTTTTATATCCCAATGTTGTTAGGAAAAATATTTTACAGACACGTCTTGTTGTACCACTAGAATCCTTCAGAAAATATGTGAATGTCTTGTTTTTCTTTGAACCTTCTACTTTTCTCTTTGGTGTTCTATTCTCTGTCGAGTTCATCACAAATGTTCGTTTTCCCTTCCAGTCCAACTTCCAAAATTCGTGGTTTGTGGTGTTTCTCTCCTCCTCGGTAAAGAATGTCCGACATTTGAGCTTACAGTTTATACAGCCTTCTCTGACCTTATGAAGCGAGATTACCTTGTTTTTCTTAGTTTCAGCTCTCACTTCCTTGGACAGTTTGTATTTTTTTCTTTTTCTTTCTTCGCCTTTTTTTGTGTGGCCTTCAACTGTTTCATATGGATCTGAAATTATACCTTACAGGTGCAATAATGCTTGCTGTAGTAGTAGATAGTACACGCTTACCTGCTTCCTCATACCCTTTAGTTTCATTCTCCTCTTCTACAATCTCTGTTTCTTCTATTATTTGATTTGCATCATTTTTCATAGGTTCCCTTCTATTCTCATCCCCACGACTATCGTCTTCCATATTTTGAATATTTTTTTCTTCCACTTCCACATTTGCCTGACCATCCACTAAAAAGTAGAAAAAAAGCTATCACTCTCAAAAGGACGGTCTATCGAACAGTAGTTGCTGGTATTTTTAATAACTAGTATGCTGTGCTCACCGTAACTTAAAATATCTCTGAGATTCCAAGATTCCTTGTCAATCACATTGTTAGATATATCTTGCAAGCAGTATCCTTTATTTGTGGAATGATGTTCTGGATCTGAAAATGAGCTATTTTGAATCAGGTCCTATCTTTATGTCGGTGGATTCGTTCTATCACCAAAGTATAACAATTACTATAACATCAGATCAAAACATATGGTTTTGCCGATTTTGAAAAGGCAATTGCCCAGTAACAAGGTAAAAGTACAGATTACATCTATGCATGGTAGTTATTTTCAATTATGGAAGGATTTCTATTCGGTCAGTGGAATTAAAATGTGCACTAGCGTAGCCAAATTTTAGTTTTACTCACCAACAGTATCAGCTGAATCCATGTATCGAATAGTCATCGATCCATTATCAATTACGCAACTCTTGGTAATTGGTATGAATTCTTCCATCTGTACATCCTGTAGTACATCTTCATCACAATAATAATTCTGAGCGCTTAAGCAAGGCTCTTCCTCTGAATTCACTGTATTAACTTTAGAAATAGTAGCCAGGGAAACTAACTTTTTTCCTCTGCTTCCGCTACTCCATGAGCACATTGTTCTAGATTTTATAAAATCGTTGTGGTCGAAATTGAGATCCTAGGGTAAAGCCACGCCACGTGCCACTTGGAGGTTACCAGCAAACTGATATTAATCAAACCGCCTGCGCCTGCACGCGTTGCGTACGACAGGTGGCGACAGGTCGACTTGCTAGGCTTAAACCACGTATTTGGAAGTTCCTAGACAAAAACCCCGTATCCAGTTAAAAATACGAGGAAAGCTCTTAGTAAACCACAAATACGGGGTTCGGCATTAGTATTTTTTAATTTTTTTGCGAATACGGGCTTAGCATTACTTGATTTCATACATTTCCGCTTCAGATACGGTTTTTTAACATAGAAAAAACGAAAATTCACGACATTTTAGTACAGTAGAGCCAAAAATCTCGTTTTCGATTTTTTTTCAAATACGGGGGTTTGGCTTAGGAGGGCAGCATATTGGATTCAAAATAGCGGCTTTTCACTTTCTTGCGCTTATTCAAAAAACCAAACGTATGTATATATAAAATTTCAGCTCAACTGGTTCAGGCAAACCTCCTTACTTCAATTCAGCACAGCGGCAGGACATACCCTGATTATCCGTTATCAAAATTATATTTTTATATATTTAATATTTTTGCCTTGCTAAGTACTGTTGCCAGTATTCGAACAGCTGGATAAGTTTAATTAAAATTATTCCAAGTTATTAAAACACTCCAGTTAAAATATAATAGAAATACAAGTTTTAGGTCAAGGATAAAATAAATACAAGAAATAGGCGGTATTCTAAATAAATTGAAATTTTTATTATACATGCAGCACATTGTCACAGCAATATAGCGTTTTACTGTAGCATTGCTCGATTTGTGGTTACTTCTCCTTCGGAGATTTTCTGAATCTAAGCCTATTCATTTCTTGTCGGGTTTGGACTCAAATGCTACTGAAACTTAACTACAAAAAAAAAATAACAAGGGTTTGAAATTTAGGCGTTAGCTGCGCGTCAAAATCGAAAATATAAGCAAGCTGTCATCACAGTTATTAATCAAATAATAATTCGCCATTTATTTGTCTGGGCGGTCCGTAGGACCTTTGCCCATTAGTCACTGTCTAATGTACGTTAGTCGAATCTGTCAGTCCTGGTTTGGCCAGAAATCAGGCAATGTCAAGGAAAAAGAGAAAGGGAGTGAGAAGAAAAATCGAGAGGAGCAAAGAAAAACAGATGTGCTTAGTTTAAGAGGAAACGCATGGCTTTTCGACTTGGTACACGGACCAATTTTGAGGTGAACTAAACGAATTTTTGATTCGGTTTTGTTAGAGTGTAATTTTGAGTTTACTAAAAATCGGCAATATTTTTTTATTACAGTGCGAGCTGTGGCCTTGAATGTTTATGAACTCGCTCCACTGTTTAGTCCACTGAGTCACGCAACGGAGGGTTACTGGGCGATTCCGCTTGACCATAACGTCGCTGCGCCTGAAGCTTGACATAATCCCTCAAGTAAGGAATGTCAAGATCTCTGTGTAGTGTCTCGTTTGAGACATACCATGGAGCGTTGCAAGTTGTCCGCAAAGTTCTGCTTGGCAGTACTTGAAGACTTTGTATGTGTGTCTTGGCAAGAAAAACCAAGCTGCACATGCATGAATAATGGCTGGTCTGATAATCATTTTATATAGTCGAACTTTGTTTGTCAATCTCAATTTGGAGGATCTACATAACAAAGGATATAGTTGCCGAAACGCAATTTTGAATTTTGTTTTTGTGGATGCTGAATGTTTCTGCCAGGTCATGCCTTTATCAAGGGTGACACCGAGATACTGGACAGAATTTGTCCATGGTACACGATTTCCGTCTACAGAAACCTCTGCTTGGGGGCCGCGACGTTCTTTGGTACAATAAATAGCCTGCGTTTTCGAATAATTAATTTTTATCAGCCACCGTTCCGCCCACTCTAGTACTTCTTCCAACGCACTCTGCAACCCATCGTGATCCAGATCACCAGTACATGACTGGGTGACAAGTGCAATGTCGTCAGCATAGAGGTAGACTTCACAGTTGCTGGGGCAAGGGACATCATGGATGAAAAGCGAATAAAGGATTGGTCCTAGGACCGAGCCCTGAGGATCACCGGCCCGTACTGGACGTGTTGTTGATAAAACATTGTTAATTTTGATACGAAGCTTCCTTTCTTCATGAAAAGATTTCAGTAATTTATAAGCAAAAAATGAATATCATTTTGGATTAGTTTATAGAGGAGGCCCGCGTGCCACACCTTGTCAAAGGTTTTTGAGACTTAGAAAAGCAAGATGCCAGTACTCATGTTGAGGGTGAACCTTCTGGTTTCATGTTCCACCAGCCTGACTGCCTGTAACTCGGTGCTATGCTCGGACCGAAAACCGATTTGAATGTCAGGAATCACATGGTGATTTGACGAAAAACTCTCAAGGTGACGATATGTCACCTTTTCGGTGAGCTTAGAAGGAGCTGACAGCAGACCAATGGGACGGTAATCCTGAGGAAATATCGAACCCACTTTCTTTGGAATCATGATGACCTCAGCAGTCTTCCACTCAGTAGGGAGGTACTGGATTCTGAACGTTGCTTTGATTATTGTTACCAAATACGTCACGGCTTTCAGCGAGAGCAGCTTCAACGCCTTGTTGGTGATCTGATCTTCCCCAGGTGCTTTACGCACCTTGAGGTCTTTAATATGACTTAGGAGCTCTGCTGGTGTGCAATGTGGAACCTCGGAGGGTTCCGCTAATGTGCTATGTGGAGCCTCAGACGAATCTTCTGAAGAAGAGTCAGCTGAAGAGGATGCAGTGCCTCCGCTAACGCCGTTGGCCCTAAAATATCTCCTGATGGATCGTACGACGTCCTGTTCCTCGTCGAGGTCGTTATCAAGATCATAGTTGGGAGAGAACTGTTTTTCCATGGCTTCAACGAAAACCTCGACCTTATCCTCCGTTCTGAAGAATATGCCTTCAGGACCGTGGATGTGCGGAAGTTGTTCTCGCGTTCCGCTTCTGAGTAACTTTGCGATCCTCCAGAAAATAATACTTGAATCAAGCATTCCAGCCTGAAAGACGCTCCATTGCTCATTGCAGACTTCGCGCTGTGCGTTTCTCACCTCATGGACAAGATTTGTAGCCCTACGAATGTCATTAGGCTGACAAGATATTTTTGCCTGCTTAATAGCTGCCATTTTGTCAAAGATTTTCGGACGAATGTCCGCAGGCAAAAAAGGTCTGCCGTGTCGTTGGACAGGAGGTGCAGCTGCACGCTGTAAAGCTGCTTGAATGAAACTTATCTAATCCGCTTGAGCGGCATCTATTCCAGACTCATCATCTATGATCGGGATATTGGGAAACTCTCTAAAGGAGTAACTTGTATAGCTACCAGACAATGCGTTTCCTTGGAGAAGCTTCCTCCTCAGAAGTTTGCTCATTGCCCAAATCCAAGACAACAGGTAGATGGTCACTAGAGATATCATATAAGATTCGAGAAGAGAAACTGTATCTACAGGTTTTAGATATCGCGAAGCCGATGCCATCTGGTGCCTGAATATGATTGAATGGATGGTCTGTCGGGTCTTCAGTGCTATGTATATATAAGGTACCTATTTGGCATCACATGGTTGTACAATCGAATCCCACTAGTGGAATTCAACCTAGAATTTCATGCTCGATGTTTGCAGTTGAAGTCCCCTGACACAATAAGCTGACCCGGGTAGTCCAAAAGAACCTCCATATGCGCCTCTTGTAGCCTGGCACCACCCCTGACATACACCGATGTGATCTTCAACGAGACATCTCCCGCCATATTGACCACCACAGAAGCTGCTTCGATGGTATGCATCTCCGCACTGGTGCTTCTATAATTGCTTAATCAACACTGCTAAACCGCCACCTCGGCGATTCAATCTGTCACCTCGGATAACATCATAGATCGGGAGAGCCAAACAGTCTCCCGGATTAAGCAACGTTTCCTGCAGCAAGGCCACATCTAAACCTTCATCCAAAAGAGCTTGATGAAATTCCCGTTTTTTCGGAATATCCCTCATGCCCAAACAATTCCAAAAAAGAATTTTGATGAATGCAGGCTGTCTACTATTGTAGCTAGACATTTACAGGAAAGATCGCCTGCAGCGCGTGGGCAGCGCTAATCACTGGGCTTATTATATATTGTAAGGACCTTAGCGCGGTTGCCAGGTCCACATTTTGTGTGGCCAAGGGAGGCTGAGCAGATGGGGCAGGCAAGGTTGCCTCTGTAGCTGATTCTGCGTATGACAGATTGCACCTTTGCGCTATAACTTGCAAGTTCCTCCTTGGAGTGAACTTGTAAGTCCGGCTATTTGCGGGATGTCGCGCCACAGTTCGCGCACTTGTGCCCTTCCTCTTCTGCGAGGAAGCACAAGTGCGTCATGTCGTCCGTTGCACTTTTTGAGCATTTGGGCTGTGCAGTGCAATATGACTGCGCATGCCCTTACTTTTGGCAGCGGTCACACTGCCCAATGAGTCTGGAGTTCTTCTGAACCTCAACTTGAATGTCTAGTCCCAGCAGTTCGTGTTCGTTGAACACTTGCTGAGACTTTTCAGTCTTGGGCAGTATCATGACCACGAAAGGCACGGGCGCGCCGCCGCTGCACCTCAATCGAATGATGTGTGCTCAATTTCTGCCTTAATCTCAGTATCTGAAAAATTAACGGGAACTCTATGAACCGCCGCATGGATGTTCCATTCCGAAGGGAGTGGGAAAGTCTGATGGGGCACTTCTTCCTCTCGGAACAGGCGAACGATCTTAGGGTAGTCGTCCTCGGATTTAGGAATAATTCTCACTCCCGCAACGACGGTAACCGCGCGATCTATTTTAATACCTAGAGGGATGAACTTGAAATTTAAAATGCGTTATCTCGTCCCGTCGCGTAAGACGATCGATGTTATACGCCCTTGGCGTGAGGGTTGTGTTGATGCCACGACGGTTGGACGAGATGACGGAGGAGAAGTAAGATCGGCTGGCGGAGTCACCTCAGAGGTAGATAACGTGGTCCCTGATTTGGTAGTAGAGGCATTAAAGGTGTTTTGATTTCATTAAGTGGGGGAGGTGTGAAATGGAATTGATCCTGTATTCAGAAGAGGAGGAAAGTCTTGGGTTGGCCGATCAGCCTTGTCGCCTTTCCTCCTTCTTGATTTTGCTTCTACAAATCCGTCCTGCGGATATTAAATGTCATCAGTAACGTTTCTCAGACGTCTTTTTAGGGTGTTTGTCCGTTCTTTAGGGGATTCATTTGAATTTACTAATATTGTTACCTGGGCGGTCAGGCTGTCAATTCTGGCTGTCTGGTCCTTGATGATCTCCAATAGGTCTCGAATCCGCCTCGCCTGGTCGTCTATTATCAGCCTCAGTTTTTTTATCGTTTTCTGCTCCGATGACATCTGCGTCAGTGGGCCCATGTTTTCTGCTTCTGCCCGGTTTCCGCCACCGCTCAGCTCTTTCCTCTTAATATGTGGAACTGCGTCCTCTGTTGATCCTCCTGGGTCAACTTCAATCTTCTAACAACTTTTTCTCGCCAATAAATCTCAGAAAACTTACAGCTCACAAATGTGACAATGCTGTCAAAACCTTCTTAAGTGTTCATCAAATAATATAAAAAAAAAACCTTCGTTGACATTTAATATTTGCTGTTGCAGTCAAAAATAATTTTACCAAAGGCTTAATGTCCCGGTAATTTGTTCTACTGAAACTCTCTTATAAAGGCTCCAATGAATAAACGCTGGTGAAATAAGGACTTGTTTGGAAATTCAATTTTGATGTTTAATGGAAAGGATTGCTTCCTTTGGAAATAGTAATTTCAATTAGGAGGCAGCAGCACCTTATTGGACTGATAGACTTCTGCCTAAAGGTGTCCAGGGTACGAGAAAATGGAAGAGAGTAGCATATCACATCGTACACCTCTGCTACCATGTTTTTGAATAAGGGGGGATTTACGCGCATCGATTTTGTCGAGGCAAAGGAATGCCGCGTCGGCAGTGGCGCTGCATGTATTGATGTATTCCATTTTATGTATGTGGTGACTAAATAGGTTGGAACGAAGAGACAAGAAACCGCTTCACAGGTAAATGTTATTGTCAAAGTCACGCTAGCCTGAAATACTGTTCAGATATTTTACCTCATTTCCTCAACAGACAATCCCAAGTTACACTGAAAACGATGAATGGTCTGAGACCTAGTTCTCATCTACACTTATGTCATATGACACAACCGCTTTTTTAGTATTCCATCCCCTACTTACTTCGATTCCAGGTCCCTGTACGTTTCTTTCCGTAATATGAAGCAGCTTAAAAACTGGATTGACAAGATATCTTCAATTCCTTCAGAGCCGATATGATATTTAGGCTATGCTGCAATACAAAAAATATAGATAGGTTCCTTTACGCAATAACTACCACCCTTAACAATGGCTAAGGTAGCGCTGGGCTTCGCCGCAGCTCCGAGTTTCAACACACTAGACGCATAATGTGAAATAGAAAATGTGAACGAAGAACTGATCAGTCACACATTCAAGAAAAAAGTATACTTACTCTAGCTATACGAATGAACTTATCAACTGGTACACTTTGGATCTTCTCTAAAAGAATAGTTGAGCTATTTTTAGAAGATTCATCCAAAACAATCCCAGTTCTCACCCTACCGTGAAAGCGTTTGACCTACCCTTTGAATCCAATCAGACCCATATGGAGACACATGCTTGTCTCCATATGGCTAATCATTATAGCACGAGTAACTGCTGTCATTATTTCTGTAAAAAGTATCATTCTAGGTATCGGGGTCTTCTGCCTAGAGCTTCTCCTGCATGACACGCTTTTCGAGTATTCCATACGATTCCGCTGGGCTTCTACTTATTCCGATTCCACGCATGTTTCTTACCCTAATATGAAGCGGTTAAGCCGATATGATATTTATGCTATAATGCAATATAAACAATATAAAAAAATGTCTTTACACCATAAACGACACCCTTAAGAATGGCTAAGTTTGCTCTGGGGTTCACCCAGCTTATGTCTCCTAGTTTCAACACACTAGACACAAAATGTGAAATAGAAAATGTGAACGAAGAACTGTATGTAAACGTGAATAGTGTGTACAATATTGACAGCATGTTTCAGTCCAAATATTGCTTAAAAGCGTTTTTCCTAGGCACCAGGGTTTTTTTGCTCATCCGGCTGCTCCGAGAGGTTTTCTGGCTGTGTAAATACTGATTATGGATCCACTGTATTTTTGCACTACTTCAAACAGTACTTCCACCAATACTTTCAACGAATTCGTTTAAACTGAACTATTTTTGTATGAAGTGGTCTTTCCAAAGCTGCTGAGGTTAGAAAGACCAGACGCTTATACACAAATATCCTAGACACAATTGCGGTATTTCCAACTTGAAATGACATCAGATTAATTTCAAAACATAGTTTTCGAAATTATAACGTCAGTCCCATAAAACAAGTAAATTAATTGTTTTTTTACTGGCATCACCAAACGTTTGCCAAAACTTTTGTTCTTCTACTATTCTGAGCTATTCAAAATTTTTTCGGCTTACAACAATAAATTATCTCCTTGCCTATTGACGTTGGAGTCGTCAACAGCAGAATCCTGCTTATCGGCAGCTTGTTTTAAGGCACTTTGCGTAAAATATTTTGGGACAAATTGTACAACATACTGCGTAACATGTACCGACGGCCATATCAAAACTACTTGCATTTACAACAGCTGTTTCTAATAGACGTTTCGCCCTAACACACACCCCTGCTCAGGATCATTTCATTAGATAGTCGCTATAATATCTTGACCGGTAACGAAGTGGCAGGCAGCAGCGCCATCGGTTATTACCAAGGTATCAGATTGCGAGTAGTAGTTTCACTTTCATTTCATGTTCGGAAATAATTATGAAGCATCGTCGCCAGCATTCCTAGAGACCAGATGTGTCTGTAGCGATGGACAGCCTGGGCAATACAGCTGCTAAGTTCGAAGCGCTTTTTTGGTGTTAAAGGCATGGCGGTCACAGGCACCTTCCGAGCACTGACGCATTAAGAAACTGGCTGACCGCAGAGTGAGTCTACTATTCGTAATCGATATACCTTTCTTATTAGGGTCAGTCCTCGTCGTAATCCAACTCCAACTACCAGAGTCGAGAAACCGACAGACGACAGTTTCCCCTTACATCTGAACAGTGATTTATGCATGGAGTTGGAACAGTTGCTCTCCACTGTTTGCAGACCTGACCGCCAGCTTTGGTACGTGTCGTCATGTCAAGGGAGTTGCAGTGGTTACAAATAAAGTGCTTCTCACATTACAAACTCACAGCTGAATAGTTTGATTTTTAGTTCGAAGTATGTCATCCGCTTTTTCTGTTTGTAGAAGTGGAATGGAGTGAAGTAGATAGATATTCTTGCCACATATTGGCTTTCTGAGTACACATAACTAACCCTCAAGCAGTTGACGTTACAGATTATTGAGTAGAGTATGGCGTCACCTAAGACAAAAGTTACCTACGCACTTTCATCTAGCGCCGACGTTATAGCATCTATCCCTGTCCTATTTACTCCAAAACTTTATGTACCCATGTCATATTTGGCATATTGTTGTTCCCAAATACATTGGCTTCCTAGATTTTTATCACTAGATCATCTATCTTCATCCTTTGTAGACGACTCTACCAGATCAGCTGTATATGCTTAATGATTTCCAGTAAGGGGTATTTCTTGCTTTCTTATGTCGTCTGATCTTATCCTGTGTTCTGTGCAACCTTTCGCCCTTATTAAGAACTTTATATCAGTAACTTGTAGTTTGTTTTTTTGACTTCTTGATGATTCCAAGAGTGACATCAATGTGTAAGGATTGGCTTGAACATGTATATTGTATACATAATTTTGTTTTCTTTAAATTTCATTTTATTGATAAAGCTATGGCTGATAGAGTACTTTCATTGACTTCCATTTTGTTGTATACGTGTTCTCCAATTGTTACCCCTAAGACATCAACCTCAAGATTTCACTTGCGTTCTTTCATTGGATACTACCATCAGTTTGGATTTGGCTTTGCCTTATTTGGTTTCATACATTCAAGTTGTTCTGAGATAAATATTTCTGGCAAATTCCTATAACCAATAAACGTTGCACGTGTTAACTTCATACTCTCCTTAATGATGCCCTCCATTGCATGATTATATTATGTGATGATGGACTCATTGTTCCTCCGTGTTACCCGTTATGTAGTTTAAAATATCTCTAATCGCACATTTTTCCAATCATAATTTTTGGTTTGTTGTAAGTGCTATTTATTACTCTAATAAGGTTTTCGTTCACAATCCCGCCCACCCGGCTCACAGTCCAGCTTCGGAAGTCAGCAGGCGCGTCAGCTTCCGGCACATAGGTGTCGCCATAGGTCTCTCAGGGCTTACCATATCGCTTGATAGGCTGACGGTTGCTGCTCTTCGAACCTCCGGTGGAAACTAAACTTTTTCCGGGACAGAGAAGCTGTGTCCCTGGAGATGCTTAGGTACTCGGCTATGCCGTATGCCAGCGAGTATTTCCGCGCTGGCGAAAAGAAGTCCTCTTGTA